AGCCTGACTTCAGTGAGGCCTTGTCACCAATTCTCTTCTGGTAAGTCTCTCTCCTTCCTCATGCCTGTTTTTGAGTGTTCCTCTCTCTCCCTATCTTCTTATCTGTCTCCATCTCTCTCTGGGTTTTCTCCCCATCTCCCGTCCCATTGTACTGCCTCTTAGTTCTCACCGCTCCACCTTTCTGTCTCCCTCCCCATTTCTCCATCTCTGCTTGCTACATCTCTCCACTTCTGTCCATCTGTCTCTCAACCCCACAATCAATCTTTCTTTCCCTGTCCTCAGGGGGACTTAAATGCACACATGTAAAACCCTCCTTTCTGGAATTATTCTCCTTCCCATCCCCTCCCTTGCCCCTCATGGTTACTGTGAGCAGAAGCAGGTCAGGAGTAGGGAGGGCTAGTGATATGGGAGTGGGGTTTGAATGGTCCGGGGGAGCCGGGTGGTCCAGCCCAGGTGGCAGGGGACTAAAGGGCACTTCCTGCTGGGGAAGGAGGCCCTCACTTCTCTGACCAGATTGGAAAATGTGACATCAGAGAGGGGGCAGTAAGGGAAGAAGACAGGAACAGAGGAAATTTGATACCTCTCTGTGAGGACCACTCTCAGGCATTGTTTTCCCCTACCCCCATGTTTCCTCCTAATCCAGGGTTGTCAGTTATGCCCCTGGAAGACCCTCATCCTCTCATGCTCGAACCATGCCACCTCCCTCCTCTGCCTTATCCCTGCCCCAGCTTCCATCAGGACCTCCAGCCCACAGGAGTCTTAGGGCTCATTCTAAAGTGCAGATCTGTGATGCCAGTTTCCTGCTTGAACTTTGTCTCAGCTTCTTGGGGCTGGTTGCTGCCTTCAGGGTAAAGTCTAAGCTTAGTCTGGTGTTGAAGGTCATGCACAGACACTTCTTCAGACAGGCAGAGACAAGTCTGGAGTGGGGAGAAGGGATTGGGGGGAGAGACCCACATAGAGAGGAAGAACTGATTCAGATACAGATGCATAGAAAGAGACAAGAAACGGGGGCACTCACAAAGACAGAAAAACACTCAAGGAGACCCACACAGAGACAGATAGCAAGAGAAGTCAGCGGGAGTTTGGCAGAGTGAAGAAACTGGAAAAACAATCTCAGATCCAGAGGGTGAGAACTGCAGAGACTGGGATAGAATGACAGGAAGAAAATGAGAGTCTCAGAAATGACCAGTTCAAGAAGCCCTCTTTTAACTCTCAGGTTGCACCCTGGGCTCCCCCATCCCAACTGTGACCACTCTGAGCCTGTCTGGCAATAAGCCTATCTTCTGCCACTGGACCAGGAGCTCTGAGGAAGCAGGGCCCCGGACTGTTTCAGTCACTGCTGTGTCTCCAGCACTGTGTAGGTCCTCGGTGAGTTTGCTGAATGGATGAAAGCCTAGAAGGCTGTGAACTTCAGAAGGGCAGGGCCCACAAGACCCCCTACCTTGGTGCTGAGCACACAGGCTGGAGTCAGAATAGCATGGGTCTGAGCCTCGACTTGGCTTCAGCCGTGCCATAGCCTCCGCTTCCTCTTCTGTGGAATGGGCAGCACTCAGCGTGCATTTATGGGGTTTCCAGGTGTAATGGGTACTCAGTAGGGACTGAAAAATGCCCACCTGCATGTGTGTCTGGGTAAACTTTCAAGGCTCCCCAATATTCCCAGGTGGGGGGATGCCAAGCCCTGTACCCCAAAGAGTGCTGCCAAGCCCAACCAGGGATGGAAATGAACAAAAATTTATTGAAACTGGTTTTGGGGAGGATGGGTGGGTGGATAGTTGGAGGTTTTCTAAAGAGAACTGTGGGGAGGAGCCAGTGTCTGGCCGGGTGGGAGCAGGTGCCCGGCCCCAGACCCTATCTCAGGCCCAACTTCTTCTTCTCTTTCTGCTTCTTGCGTACCACATCCAGGTTCCGATCCTTCCACATGCTCTTGCGCAGCTTGATGGGGCGCGAGCCCACATATTTCCCTGTGGGAATGGAAGATTCAAGGTCAGGCTTGGGGTTGGCCACATGCCCGTCACGCCCACTTTCCCTAGGGGAGGCCTCACTCACCATTCATCTCACGCATGGCACGCACATAGTCACTGGGGTCCTTAAAGCTAACGAAGCCATAGCCCTTGGTCTTGCCCGTGCGCTTGTCGCGGATCACCTTAGCCTTAAGGAAGGATGGGAAGCGGCTAAAGGCACGTGCCAAGATGTCATCGTTCACCTCATTACCCAGATCCCCACAGAAGATCCGGAAGTCATCTGGGGTTGGGAGAGAGAAGGTCAGAAGGTGCAGATGCCTGGCCCAGTGACTGCCTTATTAAAATGGCCCCACCGTTTCTGGAGGCACCCCCTGAGCCCTTCTCCCTCTGTATCCCCAGCAGTCTGCCCAAGACCCCCTTAGTAATAACCGCCAACACCTGCATGGTATTTACCCTGTGCTAGGCTCTCTGCTAAGCACTCATGAGGTTTTAACACATTTGGCACTCCCAAAACCCTTTTTACACTGAGGCACAGAGAGATCAAATCGCCTGTGCAAAGTTACTCAACCAGGAAGTGGTAGAGCTGGGATAAGAACTCAGGCATCTGGCTCCAGAGTCCTTACTTTTAATTAAGTGCACTACCCTTCCCCACCCTAGGGCCATCTCACCCGTTCCCATGATGAAGCCCCTAACTCTGTCCCAGCCCTGGCCTCGCCTCTTAACCCTCTGTCGCGGATCGCGGATCACCTTAGCCTTAAGGAAGGATGGGAAGCAGCTGAAGGTACGTGCCAAGATAACATCGTTCACCTCATTACCCAGGTCCCCACAGAAGATCTGGAAGTGATCAGGAAGGTCCTTGGTCTCCTGGACACACCCCCATGACATTCCCTGCTCCCTAGCATCACAGTACCTTACCCCATAATAGCATACTAGTATCACAGACTTCATCTTTCCTCAGCTCTGCTTCCTCTGCAAAGCCCACTCTAATTCCCCCTTGAATCCCTGACACTTGAACACACTGCCTGATCCTTCTCCAAGGCTGATCTCAGCTGCCATTCCCAGGCATATCCCCTGGGCTGGGCCTGAGCCTCAACAGAACATGCTCACGCCCAAAGAATCCCTTTCCCAGGAGGCACAGACTATTATTATTCCCTTATTGGAGATGAGGAAAATGAGGCTGGAAAGGCTGCGTGACTTGCCCAATGTCACGGAACGCCTGTACTGGCCACATCTGGGCCCATGCTGCCATGGCCCTAGCCTGGGGTGGTAGGTCCCAGGAGAAGAGACAGAAGTCAAGGACTGGGATGGGACGCAGGTCCCTTTCCTCAGCTACCATTGCGGTTGCCCTGCAGCTTCTGTGAACAAGTTAGGCAAACTCAGGAGGAAATAATCTGACAAACGCAAGAGGGTGGGACTTTCTACAAGATAACCGGCCTGGACATTTCAAAAACTATTATACATAAGACAAGGCAGTAGGAGGGAGACCATTCTCATTAAAAGATAATCTAGAGATATA